ACGCGCTCGCCGCCAGGCTTTTTAAAGTTCAGGAGCCGGCTCCTTTTGCACGCTTCCTGTCGCGGCACTCGAACGTTTCGGGCGCGATACCACACCCTCCGAGCGCGTCGTCCCTTTCACAATATCTATTATATGACGCTTGTGCACGGTGCACGGTCCGGAGTTTTAGAAATGCATTTCAGACACCGTTGAGACACCGTGCTGGTGGTGTAAAGCGGTCGCTGCGTAGGTTAGATCCAATCCACGAACATCATCGGAGGTCGTAAGACGCATGCGATTTTTCATTGAAAAACTCAAATATTAACCATCGTAAGAATTTAAGTCCTCGGAATTATTTTCTCAACAGAATTGATTTCATTTATTTTTCGCGTTTACGTGCTGAGTTTCGCGAGGATATGCACATCGAAATAGATGATGATATTATGAACGTAACCTGTAAAACGTTTATACCGCAGAAACATTACATTTATAGGCACATAAACTTCTTGAAAACCATTAACGAAATAAAATATTTTTTTCTTTTAGAATGTTGGAAACGCATTTTTAAATTGAAAAAGTAATTTAACTAGTCAAGGTATACACGCGTATAATTTGTACGAAACAACGTTTTTATTATGGATATTGTGAAATATATTATGTTTATTATTCACTCTCGCCCGAAAAAAATATTTACAACCTATATAAAATAAATAGGGTATTGAGTTAATCGTGTTATTAAAAACGTCCAACATCATAAGCTGGTATCCATGTAAGTCAATTACGAATAAATTTGATTTGGTTTTTTTCTTCTTAAAACGGTGAGATTATCAGCCACCTGGTACGTGTATCCATTATTCAGGTGTTCCGACCGCCGATTAATGTTGAGAAATGCATCATGAGCTCTTCTCGACCGGGTAAAAATAAAATATAAATATATATATATAGTGTTTATTGATAAACGACTAACTGAATTTCTCCGGACGATGAATAGTAGGGAATAAAACTTGGCGCACTGTTGTCGGGAAATGTAAAAAACTTATAGTCGCATTAAACAAACCGGTGTGATATTTCTCATGAGAAACACAAAAAATCGAATAGGAAAGGATTTTTCTCAGATTTTATTATTTCTTTTTTTTTCTTCTTCTTCTTGTTCTTCTTCTCCACTATAATTGAAGATTAGCAATCTCCGTCAGCGGTTTGCACGCGATACTAAACGAAAACAATATCAAAAGCTCTTTTACTAGCCAGATTTTTAGTAGTGCTGCAAGAACCTAACTAATTACGACGGCACTCAGGCGGCGGCGAGTAGATCCGGATTTACGATCCGGCGTAAAATTTCCCCGGCTCCTCTCGTAATTGCGGTTGCTTCGGTAACGAGCGAGTAAATGGACGTCGTTTTAATTGCGCGACTTTCTTGCGCGTGCGATACGACAGGCGACGCGGTAAGCCGGGACGGTGGCGGTGGCGGTGGTGATGGTCATCATTGTCAGCACAGACGATGACGGGATGATGATAACCCGAGGCAAATTAACCAAAACTAAAACGAATTCCAATTAAAATCAAACGCGGTGACGATATTACAACACATTATGTACGTGTACAAAGATAGTGACAGAAATAGATTGAGTAAGGGAGAGAGAAGGCAACAATACGCATAAATTATAGAGTTCATGGACTATATACCCGGAGCGATGATCGCGTCGAAACATCATCGCGTACTAATATTATCGTCTGGTAACGCAGTCGGATAACAAATCGTCATCGACGTGACATACGGTTGTGTAAAACCGATACCGCGTGTCCGTACATTACACGTATACGAGTGGTACGCTATAAATTACCCGTATTACCTATACACGTAGTACATAAATATATATATAAATTTGTGTACACGCACACATCTGCACCATGACGGTAATGTGTGGAGTGAAGTGCGATATGTTAATTCACCGCAGCCGCGGCAGTCGGTATACGCTCTCCATTAGCGACCAGTTCGATCGCACGCCAGCCACGTCCTCCGATCGTAGGTTAACGGGGAGTGATCATTATTATTACGCCTGTACAATATGCGTACACCGCAGTGCCCACGGATCAATGTAAATCATTTTTACACTCGGAAACATTCCGAAAACACGCGGGAGTCGGTTTGAAATCATATAGTATAAGTACGCGTAACACGCTGTACGTGTATGTAATGTACACGGGGGCGAGAAACCGATTGGCCGTGCGATCTGACGACGACGACGATGATGATGATGATAATTTTATCACGTCCCGGGTACACATATGTTTTCGGACGACCGGACGGCGGTGGCAATGACCGAAAGGGATCTGCGATAGTGTGAACCGCAGCCACGCGTTGTCGTTCAAGATCAAACTTAATTAACGTCAAAAGTAATCGACTATAGCCGCCACCGAAATGCGCGGATCACGCCGGGGCGGGAGTACGTAGTACAGCGAGGCGACTGCGGGGACGTTTTAATTAATCAAGGAAACTTTTTAGAAATCCCTCCCCCTTCAGGCGGCTGCGGAAACGGAACGTTTTGACGGTTTGACGGTGCGTATTCGCGCGCGCATTGTTCGCGCCAACCGGTATACATATTAAATTAATCCCATTAGGTATTAATTTTCATTATTACATGAGCGAGTGCGTGCGCGCGCCGTCCCTTTGACAGAAACTTCACCCTCATCCTCCTCGTTCGCACGCACACACGTAAGCACGCACGCAGACGGGCACATATTATTATACCGACCTGGGTACTGTGAACGGGACGCGAAACCCGTAAGAGGGACCAACGCAAATTGGTTTTCACGTGTTTCCAGAAAACCCTGCAGCGAGCCCAGCCTTCTGTCGCGTGCATACGTCGTACACGGTAGTACCACGATCGTGGTCACCGTAACCCTTTCTCACGGTCCACGCACATACATATTATGTATGTACGTTTGGTTGCTCTAATCAGGTTTGACGACGTGATGAGTGTGCGATGACAACATTCGAAGGATCGCCGGTGTGGACACGGGTATACGAGTCGCGAGCGTGAGCACGACTTCAGGGACGGTTGGTATGCGATGGTATGCGAAGGATAGATAAGTATTGGGGAGGAGAGGATTAAAGTCTCCCTAGCCCTCATCTGATTGCGATTATACTCCTCAGACGTTTACGAGCCATCATCATGCGTAATACCGTATGCGCATAATATTATTAATTTTCCCTCGGGGTTCGTTCGCCGCCGTTCATCGTCGCACGGACAAATGGTGCACCATGTGTGGACTGATAACATGGATGCAATTTAAGAATAAATTCGAAATTCAAGGGGAGGATTGATACATTAAAAGTACTGTTTAATATTTTTTTCTCAAAAAACAATTTCATCCACGTTCCTTATTCTTAATACCGTTTTGATATGGTTTACAATTAACATGGAACGGCTGTTCAGCAGACAATGCTGCACTTAGGCCGCTTCAAATTGAACAATAATTAGCAATAATAATATGAATAATATGTATAGAGAAAAATAATTTGGGTGACTCGACAATTGAAATTATAAATTTCTGCCAGTCAGAAATCTGTAAAAGCAGTTCTCTAATGTAGATCAATTAAGTAGAATTAGTCTTAAACAAGATAATAGATACGAAATTAAGACATACAATATGTGTGTAAAATCCATAAATAAAGGCATAGGAAAAAAGTTCTGGGCTTATTCAGGTCCAGTAAATTTTAATTCAATGCGTATACTCGTATATATCTATAGAAGTATATTTTTAATAGTGTACACTATTACACAAGCTGTACTTTCAACGAATAAAATGTTGTAGATTAGTTTTCACCGTGGACTGTAATTAGACCAAGGAATTTAAGATTAAATATTATAATCGTTAACTTCGTAAAATAATAACTTGTTCATCCCACTACAAGCTCTGCACAATGAGATAAATTAACTAAAATGCTTGGATTTTTCAATTTTTTTTTGTACGAAGCGTTGTTTTATAAAATTTGATCAGATGAAAGTAAAATTAATTCCAATGACTATAATATTTTAATTTGTATACAATATACACAATATCCCTTTCAATGAGTTTATTGAATTATTTAAATAATAAGAACAATTAAAAAAAAAAGCTTCGATGAGAAAAAAGAAAACGAATCGCCGAGTTAATAAAACAAAATAATGATCAATATCAAAATATATACCGTTTCGAACAAAAACGAAATCCAATTAAAAAAAAGAATCGTAAATAATTTATGTTTTAATTTTAATTGACCTGGTTTTGTTGTTTGTTGTGATTTTTCATTAAATTAAGTACAGTTACCAAGATAAGTTTTCTAATAAATTTCTTAATTACTTCTTTGAGTTGTTTGTAGAACGTTTTATTTTCTAAATTAAATATAAATTTTTTAGATTTACGCTCGAAATCATCCTTTAATTTTTTTGATATTGTCTTATTCAATATAGATTGATTTTATCTCAGTTTACAGAATCATTAACTACACCAACTATTTGGTAACGATAGTAATAATTTTATGTTTACAATAATTTACAATATTCTTTTACGATATTATATTTATTATGTAAACTTCTTATTATTTCTATTGCAAATTACGGTCTTAAACACAATGAATTCATTAAAAAATTATTTTCATCTTACGTCTTAGTACGTTGGGTCATAAAATAATGTAGATGTATCATTTATTTTTAAATATTTACACAAATTAGTTTTATAAATAAAAATAATATATAAAAAAATATTTACCAAATATAATTGTATCATTAAATGCGTTAATGAAAACATTCATATATATTTATATTATTGCGCCATAACGTGAAGTAAATACTGTGGTAGTACGTTTGTAAAGAAATACTTTAGCGTACTTTTTTTATTATTATTAAACAATGATTAAAAAGTAGTCAATATATTTTTTACAAACACTTAAATTCGAATATAATTCATAATATTATAATCCCAATGAATATTTGATTCTGACTAACATATTAAAAACAATTTTAAAACTTTTCACTTACCTATGGCAATGGGAACGGATCAGTTTTTCGGTTTTTTAAATGGTAGCCTGAAAAAAAAAAAACTCTTATTAAAACTATTGTCAATCATTTCATTTGACGTACACGTCTATAATAATAAACCCGCTGTAAAGCGCGCTATAATGGAATGAAAAAAAAAAATATTCCCAGTTACCATAAAGAAAGAAAAAGCAGCTGCGAAAGCCGTCACAGGACATTCCAGTTTGAAACCATACCTCCAAATATCCTAAGTGGTTAAACAAGATTGCCTACTTCGCTACGGCCTTCAATGTTAATAACTAATACCGTCAACGATTCTCAGAGGGATAAATATAACTGTATATTAAATAGCTTACAGACAGAGTACTGATACTGTAATAAACCATTTATTTAGTAGAGGAGAACTTCGATGTAGCGCAGGGATCGGTCGCACTTGTACACAAAATTAATGAATTTCTAAAATTAATTAATCTATTCAATAGAATGCATATACAAAAAAATGTAACTCACCATAAATATTTTAGGTAATTATTGATTTTTAACAATTGTATGGTTCCCAGAGCGAATGGCTTTGACCACTAAAGTTTTTTTAAGATCAATAAAAATGTAAGCCCATTTACTTTATAACAATCTTATATAGACTAACACGTTAATATCACTGTCGGTTTCGACACAAGGGATGAAGCCGAATCACACGGTTACCCGCGCTAGTACAATCGTTTACGAGTGCCATGAATGAGTTTTGTTTTGATCCAACGATTTTCCGGCCGCGTGGTAGATAGTATATGTGAATTGCGGCGTAACGAGACGATGAATCGGATCATTTCTCCCGTTAATTATTCAATATGACGGGAATGGATCACGAAAAACCAACAACACCAGACGAAAAATGGGGGTAATAACTATAATAATAGCCCGGTTTATTCAGTGTAGTAGGCCTTGTACATAATATAAGTGTAGGATTACCCGCGTGTGCGGAGGGACGCGACAGCGTAATCCAGAGGTTGTTATATGTGACGTTTAATGTAAGGGACGGATTAGTCAAACAGGTTTATATTATTAATTATACAGGATTAAAATATATATACATTATAAAGTATATGTTGCCGTACGGACGAGACCGCGGCGGTGGCGGATGTGGCGTGAAACTGAATTTTTGAATGCTCGTTATTTTTTTTCCGACTATGGTACGCGGCGGTAAGGATTCTACATCGACGTCACATTGTCATGTTTCTTTATTATTATTACTTCAGGAAAACCTTGGGAATCGTCGGAAGATTTAGTTTTGAACTCGGATTTCTAACGTTTTACCATCGCCGCTTAACCGACAAAAACGCAGAGTAAATTAATAAAATAGGATATTCCAACGCGCGTAAGACAAAAAAAAAAAAAAAAGTGGATAGATTTCAATAAAAAATGTACGTTTTTATTACGATTGATTATTGAAAACGATTGTTAGAAAAGCGATGTAACACATATAATAAATATATATGTATTACATATATTACATTACGACTAGAATAAAAAAAATATAAAAAAAATAATGATGGGTATGGTTTGCGACACATTTCACGACCAATTTTTATTTGTTCGAGCATACGCCGACGACGTTTGGAACTAATTAATGATAATATTCAAATGTCTAATTATTCTAACAAACTAGTTACAAAAATTAACATCATGTATTTTTAAAAACTTGATAAATAATTATGCATGCGAAATCAATGGATGTGTGCGTGCCCATGCGAACGTGTGCGTGTGTGTATATCTACACACACACACACGACCAAACGCAAATTTCATTTAATGAACTCGCAGTGTGAAACCCGCGTATAGGCGGTAATTAGGGTTTGTCGGTTTTTTTCTCTCTTTAAATCGCGTGTTTCTGTTATTATTTGTTTTAAATAAATTATGATAATTTATTAGCCTAATGGGACGTTCCGGTCGTTAAAACGTATTGGTTGTCGTCGGCTGTGTACACACGTATCGACAACGGATCGTGACCGGTTTGTTCTTCGCGTGCAACGCGGGTTTTATGCGTAGGTATGATGTTTCATGGGAATTAAAGCAGTTATTAAAGAGGGCCGTTGGGGGTTGATAATTGTTAAACAGCAATTAAAATCAAAGTTCGGTCAAACTCAAAAGAAAATATTTATTTTATTCGTACCGTCGATGTTTTTTCTATTACTGTTTCTAGGTCATCTCGCGCGCGGGGTGATTTCTTTCGCGTCCGACGAGCGGTATGTAACGACCGAAAACAACGGTTAAAACCATAGGCGTGCGCAGGCGGTATGCAGGGTATGCAACTGCATACCCTCCTAAACATAGAACCTTCTTTCTAAAATTACAAAAAATAAATAAAAATTATGATATATTTGGTCTTATGTATATTATGTGACTTTGTATTACATTATGATTTTTATTATATTTTTATATTCAGTCCCAGACAGTTTAATTTATTTCTGAAACACAAATTATACGCTATAATAACGATTTAATGTGTTAATGAAACTACAGAACGAGAAAAGATTATAAATTAAAATCCCGAAAACATTATTGGTGATATTAAGAACTCAACTGTACGCAGAATCGTTTTATGATTAATTTTGATTATTTATCAAATTTATTTTGTTTTTCGTTAAAATGTATAGTTACGTTTTTATTTATTTAGCCTATTTAAACGTATTACTCAAACCATTTCAAGTGTTATGTATTTAAATTTTTTTTCGAAATTTATTTTAAATTTTAATTATGATGACAGTTATAACGATTAAAAAACGGCTATTCAATCACTTTATTCAGGGAAAAAAATTAAAATTTTAAATTTAATAGTTATTAAGACCAGAATTTCGAACGCTTAAATTAACTTCCAGTTTTATAGGAGGGGAGGCAATGGCAGCCTTTTGCATACCCTGAAAAATAACCTACGCACGCCTATGGTTAAAACGATACGTTTTGCTTGACGACGAGGCGTTCGCACGCGGGAATCGCCTCCGCAGTGGAGTCGAGCACCCCGTCGTCTTCGCGTGGGTGAACGAAAAACCGAAAACGGGCACCATTTCCAATGGTCCGCGGAGAACATTTTCGGAGCAGCACGTGTTCACGGGAAAGTTCACGCGAACGTACGGTTTTTGGGGTACGCAAAGGCGTGACGAAAAAAGACGTGAACGGTAACCGCGCGTACCGTGAAAAACTGATGTTGATAGCGAGCGTCACTTTGTACATGACCACGTTGAACGGGTACCGGTGCGCGCGCGGAAAACGACCGGAGCGATTTTCGCGCTCGTCGTACAAACGATGTGTTGTATTGACACGGCCTCAGCACTCGCGGAGGTAAAAAAAAAAACCTTTCGCAACGACCGTTGCGGCGACGGTTTTGCGTCACCCGAACGGCGTAGGTACACGTACGGTGCATCGATAAACGAATGGAACAGCCGCGCACGCGTTTTGCCCGGGACACGTACGAAATACGGACGAGCAAAAAGCGTACGGGAAAAGATAGAAAAAAAAACAAACTCACGAGAGCCAAGAATTTTTCTGCAATCCATAAATGTTCATTTAATTGCGATCTCTTGCCGTGCGCGGGGGTAGGACTGGTGGGTGGACGCGAGTACATAGCAGAAAAATGCGCACACGTTACATTACGTGTAATAACGTATGGAACAACAACAATGCCGATACCGAGTAACCCGCCGTAACCATATATTAGCTGGGCTGGTGTAAAAGAGATAAAAATAAAATAAAACGGAGGGGGAGGAAAAAACCGCCAACGCCGACGGTGGTCGGTGTGGTCGGGAGGGGAAAAGGGTGCCGAGCTCGTTAAGGGTACGGTTGTGGCGGCGGCGGCGGCGGCGAGCAAACGGCGCCTTATGGTCTGACGTGGGGTTGTGCCGCTAATTGGGCCGCGCTAACGAGAATACAAAATGCTCTGCTGTCTCTCACTCCCCTTTCTTTCTCTATCCGTCTTGAGGATTTCGCGGACAACATTCGATATGATATTCTCGTTCTGTACGCCTCGAACGCGCGTGGCCACTGCGACACACGCATGACGCGTAATCGCGCGCGACGAAACAGATTTATATGCAAATAAATCTTCGTTCGGAAATCCTTAACCGTTTATTCGATCGTGTTCGGCGTGTGCGCAACTGTTTGTTACAGCCGCCAAGGCGGTGGTCGCAATCGCATTACGAATCCCATTCACGGTGTCGGATATTCGATCGCGATACCGATACCATCTGTAAACCTAGGTATATACCGTGGTGTGCACATGTGCGACGCAAGTGAAACGCGTTCGCGTCGTACCATCAGACGTACACGTATTAATAATGTATTATCGGTAATACGCTTTTTCGCCAATGGTAAAAGTGTGTCATATTATTGTGGTATCGCATGCGCGCGAGTTCAACGACATGTCGCACGACAAAAAATACGTATTTGCTGATGGAGGGGGTGGGTAAGAGGGATGGGTTAAACGACGAACGACAGCGTATCCGCAGTTAAATCAACGACACGCGGCACTTATCCAGTGAAACCGTGATGTACCTATTGATGCGTACAGTTTTTGCAGGATAAAATAAGGGGCTGCGGATCCCGAGGAAACGCACCGTCCGGACGGGGCGGTGTATGTATTACGGTTGTGCCGGTATAAAGAGCCAATTAAAAAAAAAAAAAAAAAAAAAAAAAAAAATACACGCGCGTTATTATAATACGTGCAGTACGAATTCGAGAGGAAGAAAAATCGCATCGCACTCCTCGTCCTGGCGCGGCAAATAATTAATACCAGATGTTCGATTCGACAGCGCCGGTGTATCACCGTAATCATCATTATTATAATGTTTCGAGTGTCGGCGGCGACACGAGACGCTAATTAGACGCGCGCGGCCGCTCCACTATAACCTGCAACGCCTCCGAGCGGTTGGCACTGGAGGAGGATCGACGATGCGACGGCGGCGGTGTGTCCTCGTAACAAGCTGCTGCGCGCACGGAAATGTACGTACGTAATAATAATGAACGAGCGAGAGACCACGTTCACACGGGCGCCGCTCGTTTGTCGTGC